CGCGTCGTCTACCAGGGAACGAAGGAGGATAGAGGGGATTCTCTCATTCTCAGTTAGATCGAAAAGATCGTCGAGCAGCGCGAAGATGGTTGCCTGAGTAGATTCGTCTAATGGGTCCCCCTGGTGCTTGCTACTCATTCGGCGTAGCTCTTGGACCACCGCATCGGGAGGCGCAGCAGAGATACCTACGCGGTCGAAGAAATCGCGTAGAGTCTGGGGATAGAACCTATCAAGATAGAACTGGTGGGCTAGGGAACTTGGCCCGTCCCAGAACACATTGTCTTTAGGGTTCAGCGCGTTCAGCCACAGTGCTTTCCGCCCTGACTGTTTATCCCCTGGTATGAAAAGCAGTTTCTGGCTGGCGAAACGTTCACTATTGCAAGATGTCAGTCAATGAGGGCCAACATCAGTAGAATAGCCGCACCGGATGATCTCTTCGAAGTCGGGATCGTCCGAGAACCGGGCATCGAGTTGCGTGTAGAGCTCTTGTACACGCTCGAATGTCACGGGGTCGGGATTCATGCAGGCCGTATGCGAGAGAAGTTGCAGACACTGTTTCGCGTCTAGGTTTGTAGATACCCCGAGCGCTGGTGGCAGGAAGTCCCAGCACGAGTCTTGAGGCCGGTCAATAGGGAGGAAGGGTAGTAGACCATCGTAGTCGGGCGAAGTCAGTCTCCCTCGTCGAAGACAAGTATCGCGTAGGAGCTCGTTTCGACCAATCAACTTCACAGATGTGTCTGCCAGCATGGACTGCCATGTCGACCGCTCATGAGGTAGACGAGGCCAGAAGTACTGCAAGTGATCTAGGAACTCATCGAGTGGGAGATGTTGTGCCATGTCTGGCAGATCCTTGTGAGGATCGGGTATAGTGCGTAGCCCGCAACCCTCGATGAGCCAAGACAGCCACTGCTCGCGTTGCGTTTCAGGAATGCCTTCTTGGTGGCGCACGTATGACTGAGCAACAAACGGTACTTCCGGAAGGGCCTTACGCAGGCGCTCTCCATCTGCAGGATCGTCAAGATATGCATGATGCCCCAACGATGACCCGCCATTCTCAAGGGCAAAGAGAAGGCTGGAATAGTCCAGCGGTGGCTCGAGATGCCGGTAGGAGAAGAAGAAATGGGCATTATCGATGCGGCCTGCTTCGCCGGTGTTATCTTGGGTAGTCAGAATCTGCGAAGCGATGTCTTGTGGACAGATATCACGAACACCCATCTTGTGAAAGAACGCATGCCTCTCCGGGATAGCATCTGCGTCTGCATGCACCACCAAGACATTCAGATGAGCCGGTAGACGTGGAAGAGAACTGCCGTTGGGGAAGTATATGCCAGTCTTGTGCCACGTGGTAGCTGTCCACGTGCGGTCAGAAAGAGGGATGATCCAAAGGCGTTCGATATCCCGTCTTAGATCGCTGCTCCGGTCATAGATCTCGCAGAGTCGGGATGCAACCACACGATGCCACTCTGAGTGCTCCCTGCCGAAAGACCGCTTTGAAGACATCTTCCATAGAGCGTCAAAAAAGTGACGGTCCTGCATTTTCTTCAACGAAAACCGGCGCTCCAGTACATGAACGATATCTCGATCGAGCTCAGAGTAGCGGCCATGAAGATATGAGCGGTCGTGAAGATATGAACGGCCGTCCGTGAGACGCGGATCCACCAAGGGCTCCCCTTTGATGCAGAATCGAGATGGCAATGCGAGAACGCAATCAACCATTTGCCATTTCTCCCCCCTGTCCATAACGATGGGCTTCTGCGCAAGTTTAGATATCAACTTATCCATCGCAAGTCCGAAGAACTGATGGGAGACCTCTCCGTTCAGATAGAGAGGCCAGGTAAAGCGTAACTGTGCGTCTCGTAGGAAGAGGTCGACCGCCGAACAAAATGCTGTTGGGATCTCGTCTCGCAGACGACAATTCCAAGCGGAGTCCTCCAGGATGTCCTGACGGTTCGATGAAGTCACGAAGTCGGCTTGAACGATGAACTGTGCATCGTTTAGGTCAGGACTGTCTCCTGCATACGACGGATTGACAAAATACCTTGAAACCAAAAGAGCCAAGAGGAAGATATGCAAAAACGTTCTGAGGAGAGACTTCTGGGGAGCCGTCCTTCTGAATCGGAAACGCGAGCACTATCTCCGAGGAACGGACCCCGCTACGCTTAGGTTCATGGACGTCTTGCATAGAGATGGAGTGCTTCATAACGAGGTATGTCGTCGTAAGCGAGTGGGCACTTCCGTCCTTGACGACTTCGCGTGAAACGAGGACCTTGGCAAAGGCATCGCTATGCACTTCCTCTTTGGAGCAAGTGTAGGTAGCAGAGAACGAAGCGGAAGGGGAGGTGGTACGGATATCGATGCGTATGGAGCGAAGTCGCCGCGTGAACAGTAGCAAGCTAGGTTCTATACTCGATAGCTCTGCGGCTAAAGGGCCGGCGTCGCCGTTGAGATCCAGCGCAAACGTCGTCTCTCCGTCTGTAGCGGGCGCATCGTCATCCCAGATGGGCACGATCATGCCGAGTGGCTCTCGACGGTCGAATTTAAACTTGAACGTCCTCGACGCGATGTGGATGACATCCGCTACCTTGAAGGCGGATTTGAAACCTACATACGAGCAGGAAAGATCGATCAGCTGCCTGCAGCGATACACCGAGTAAAGGACGCGCACCGATTCCTTTCTCACCTATACCCAGGCATTAGTATACCTTGAATACGTAACACATCATGATCATACACACCGATGTAATCTGCGTCCTTCTTTCCAACCTTCGTACTCTCGTCCGCGGAACAGATGGCGCGAACGTCTTCGTTGCTGAACCCCACCTCATTCGAGGATATCACAATTCGATCATCCTCGAGGCGAATACGCAGAGATGGGGTGGCCCCAGGAGGATAAGTATTGTCATCCGCATTCTGCACGAACTCCAAGATGAAGTGGGTGTCCTTGGTGTACAGGCCGTCGGTTAGACTGAGACTCGTGATTAGCAACATGCGTGTTTGCCACAATGTGTCGAACGTACTGGTTCAATGCTCCTTGTAAGATCTTCCGAATTGTCTCCGTGCCTGGAAGTAGTCGACTTTCTCGGATGCTGCTGATGAGCTCGCGGGCTGAGTGGGACATGGTGGACGGGGGGAAGGCTAATGAGGTAATCGCGTGTTATATAGAATAGTGAACGGATGGCTAGTATGCCATGGGATCGGGTTTCCCGGGCGGCGCTATCTCTTCAGCGTATCTCACGTAGCCAATGATGAGCCTACAGTATTTTTTTGATTTTCTCACGTTCAGAAGTCCTACATCATGTGGGCTGCGGAGAGGCGCCGGTGCCGCGCCCTCAGCCCAACGAGTTTCATAGTCGGCCGTCCAAATAGAGAATTGACTTTCCACCTTCTGACGCTCCGAGGTCGGCGCTAAAGATGTTGCGTACGAGTTCGAGTCGTGCGCTCACTTTTTCGTCATCGTCGTCGTCGCGGTCGTCGCGGCAAGACGACAAGGACGTGTGAGACTGACCCGACCCAATGCACGTGATCTCGGGCGGAGGCATGTTCCTGCCCTGACGCGCGGGTCTTTGCTTCAGACGCCCATGCTGGGTCAGGTACGCCGAATGGCTGCCACCATCTGGTTCTTACTCTCAAATCGAGCATCTTACAATGAATATTCACCTTGAGCGAGGGCCTCAAGCCCTTCACTCAAACTAAGCTCGCTCGTCGACATTGAGCAGCTGGAATGGGACGCACATCGTCTGATAACCTATGGCGCGAATCGAACCGGAGGCGAGCGACTTTCAAATGACGACGGTCAATGCCTTACGTACGTCTGCTCTTTGTGCTGTTCCGGACGCTGTCTCATCTCCCCAGCAGGTTTGAACGCGTCACACGGTCTATGGCAATACCCCTTCTCACTGGTCTGTCGTCCCCGTGCCCTGGGATAGGCAACGTCTCGCTCCGTATATACTGCACAGCGCGCATGTAAGGATGCAGGAGGAGAGGATGAGTAGGGAGTTTAGGCGCGCTGGTATGACGATGCAGGACGCGGGCCGCGAAGTGCTCCATTTCGGAGCGAACAAACGCACTGTGACGGATCGTGACGCGACGCGACGGCATGCGTTTTGTCCTTTGACGCTTTCCAGCTGTTGAAGAAACGATAGGCCACGGCCCACCAGAGTTCTTGTGGAGCTGGGCTCTCGGCCTTCCTAAATCGGGCGAGAGGCTGTGCGCGTGCAAACCGTTTCGGGCTGGTTGTGACTGCCCGAACCAAGCCCGAACGGTGGCTGGTCCACCAATTTCGGCCCCTTCGTCGCGCACATAGCCCCCCGGCCTCTACAACAACTCGAAAAAGGACTATACCGCCGAAGCAGACTCTCTTGAGAGCGAGAGCGACAGGCGTATGCGGCATACGCGTAGGCAGTCGCCCGCTGGACCAGCTGCGCGCAACACGTGACATGCCAAAACAGGTTGGCCAAGAGCGAGGCTCCACACAAACCGTTCGCGCGCGCTGGCCTATCGATTCTTCAACAGCTGTCAAGAGGGCCGAAAGCGAGTTGACCCGGTCCTACCACTGCTCTGCCACCACGACAAACGTCCAAAGCGTGCATACACCACTGGTACGCAATGCACTCTCCGTTCAAAGACCTTGATACTCAATCGCCAGCACAGAATCAGGCTCTATGAACCCTCCCAATCCCCAGACGCTTTGTCTTTTGGACGACATCCTACGAGAGATCTACTTCGCAGTCGCCGAGCAAGAACCTCCACACACTCCCGAAGTGATACGAAGATACCTGAGTGACACCCAGACACCTCGCCCACCCCTGGGTTGGATCAGACTCACCCACTTATCTCGCCAGTGGCGTGAGGTCGGCATCGATACGCCAACATTGTGGGCGCGCGCTGTCTGCATCTACGAGTCAGACGACGCCGTGAACACCATCCGTCAGCGCGCTCGAGGCTGTCCTTACACCATACAGCTGGAGCGAGACTATGCCACAAAGCGCCGTTGCGAGATGGCCACTCAATTTCTAGATCGCGTCGCACATCTCTCTTACACTCGGAAGTTCTATAAGTGGCATTGGGCAGCAAAGATCTCCGGAAAGGAACTCCCACTCTTGCGTTCTCTGAATTTAGAATCTACCGACGAAGACGCGGATATCGTGTTCGAGCCACTCGTAGCGCCTGATCTTCGTATGTGCGCGCTCGACCTCGATCTACCCCTCATAGCTCCCAATCTCCTACACCTATCATATATCGGGACGCCCAAGATGACATTTCCGACCCTTCTTGCGCGCCTGGCGACTTTCACCAACTTGGTCCAGCTTACCATTACTTCGGTGCCCGACGCAGATGGCCGCGAATCGTCCTCCGACCCCGTCCATCTTCCTTTCCTTCGCTACCTCAATTTCAGCAGCACAACGTACACACGAGACGCAGACCTCCTCCGGCACCTTCGGTTCCCAGTCTCGACCTCGATGTTCCTAGGCGCCGGCTATGGACGCGACTCCTTCTCGCAGGACGAATGCCAGTATCTCGTCGACTCTATCACGGCTCAGCTTCGCCATCCGTCACGGAACACTCTGCGAATCGTGCCAGACCCTGCATGCCATCATTGCATCCAGATACTCGCACCCGACAAGCCGATGCCTGTATACGGAGTGGCCCCCATAGACGTCTACGCGGTAGACGGTATTACCATCGAGCCGAAGGGTACGCCGCTGTACGACATGCTCGGGCCCATCACCGCCATCGTCGGCGCGAACATCACCACTCTCGTCATTCAGATATCGCATCTGGACAACACATATAGACTGGCCACGGTACTACTCGCCCCGCTGCGCAATGTAACAGAGTTACATCTCTCCGGCAGATCGAGCGGGATACTACCCGCACTTGCCCCGCTCCGAGTCCACAGTCCGGCGGGTTCATCGCTCACGATGGCTTTACCGTCCCTCAAGACTTTGATTGTCAACCCCGGAGACGACCTCAAGCTCTGCGACGGAGAAGTACCGTGGATGCACCACTGGGATACTATCATCGAGTGTCGCCACGAGCCGGAGATCGGCGCGGGGTGGCTGGATCACTTACCCCCGGTTCTCCTGGAGAGGGCGCAGGCTGGTAGTCCGCTTATGCGATTGGTGATCGTCGGATCGTCGGACTGCCAGGGTATTGTGAATAAGTCGAAGCGTGAGACGTGCGCTCGTGTGGACGGTTCTACATTGGTGGCGTTGCGAGAATGTATGCGCGATGCGGTGTTCGTTGACGAACGTGCGTAGGAGCTTTGAGCTGCCATCGTGATTGTGTCACGCTCTACCATGGATCCTGCTGTACTTGTGTTCGTCTTGTCTGTATGTTTCCTCAGAATCATGATATCGCATGACGGATGCAACTTTGTCCAGTATGCAGTACTCGTATGTACAAACAGGAGCACCTAGAAGGAGAAATGAGCATGATATGACATAAGAGTACATGCGCAGCGTAAGACGTCGTCGGCGGCATCGTTGTGGTTCGGCAAGAACGGGTCGTGTGTGCACTTAACGGGCGTGAGATTGGCGCGACGCGTCGCACGTGATCGTGTCGCGCTAACCGGGTTAGTAACCGCGGGGGTTTGCTTTTGACGCCCATGCTCTCTCCCATCCACATCGGGTTGCCGAGGATCCACGATCCGAATGGGGTCCTCTTCGCTGACCAGGATACGGTCGCCCTAAACAAGCCGTTACGAATGGAAAGTTCGGCATTACCTGGTCAATTGCAAGTAGATACGTCATGGTGACCAGAAGCTCAACGGCGGCGACATCCGCAAAGGCTCGAACTGATATCATGCCCTTCGGTGAACGCCGTCCTCTACTATTCCTACCGCTCAGCTGAGGAAATAGCAGCAACGTGGGCGACGAAACCCCAAAGACGTCTGAAGATCTAGAAGGGATGCGACTGTCCAATCGAGTAGCCAAATTCGTCAGTGCAGAAGATTCGTACAGAAGCCAGCTGTCATACTGGTGTAAACGGCCTAGTATGGCTGTGCGGATCATGGTCGCGCTATGCGAATCCTGTGTATACACTCTAGCATACCGGTTACAGTCTTAGGAAGCAGTGCTTCTTCTGTCACGAGCCAGTTCTATATCTCATCCCCTTGATGTGCATGAGTATGTGCTCCAACGATCATCCCCAGGTCCCCATTGCGGCTCCCTTCACTCCCTGCCTCTTACCTCTGTGTACCACCATGCCAGACCCAAATTGCGTATACATCGAGGAGCTATCGACCCTTTTCAGAGGACGTGCTGTCCATAACCCTCGTCGCACACGCCTACAATCTGGACGTGGCCTACGTTCCCCAATCGACGTCGGCGACGTTGTATACGACTGCGAGGGACAGCTTACCCGCCTATTCAACTGCCTGAAGAGGCCCAGCGAACAGGATGAAGACTCCATTCTTCCGGAAAACTTCGAGATGCTCTCTGTGACCCAACCCTACCTGCCGTCGCGCGATCACCGCGAGGTCTTGACGCCCATCACCATCAATGAAAGACTGATCCATGCCGGTCCGTACTTTTCGAAGGGAGTGCGGAGATTAGATGCCCATTTGGGTGTATCAGTAGCGTGCGTGCGTTCTCGCCACTCCTTTGTGCGTTCTGCACTCAGCAATGATATCCTCTGCCTAGATCGGCAGCCGGCCCCAGTTTCGGATTCTCTACTCTCCACAAACAAGGCGCCATTCTGATTACCTCTGGAACCATCCGCACTCGGGTATCTCCCAACCGCCCTGCATTCGAGCAGTACATGGTCAAACACTTTGACGACTGGTGCTCACTTCTCTCGTCGAGGCAGCTCGAAGTCCAGCCCCATAATCTCATGTTCGTCACAGCCGCCGACTACACCACCACTTGGTCAAACCTGGTATACACGGAACACCAGCTTCAAGGCCAGTTCAGTATCGAAGTTCCTTCGGTGTCTACTATTGGAGGTCAGATCTCTGTTGGCATGGACGTTCAGCATAAACAGTCGGAAACGAGAGACTGGGGTCCAAATCCCGAGGATCTAGAGCTGGAAAGGAGGTGTGCAGTTGTGAACGCAACTGGTATGTAGCATTTTTTGCTCGCAGGTCTGCTACAACCTGACAACGTTCCTTGAGATGTTCCCACGTCTCTCACCGATGACCAGGTCATCTTCGTTCGTGGCTTACGAGGGAAGAGACGTCGACTTTTCAAGGGGTTCCAGAAGCTTGTTGGAGAAGGAGAACCCGGCGACGAATACGACACCCATCCCGGTGGAAACGGTGGGTCTGAGATAACAACCGAAAGCCTCACCGATTCGGCGCACGTATGCACCTTTCTCAATTGGGAGGATCTTGGAACTGACCTCTCACACATAGATGACGGACTTCCTATCGCCGATTTTGGATCTCATCCTCGAGGCATGGCGATATTTTCTCTTTCCTGTGGCTCGCCAACTCATCCGTACTTCGATCTAGAACACGAATGCGGACTTAGCCCTTGTCCACGACGAAGACTACCAGCCTTACCTTCAGCACGTCCAGTCAGCTGACGATCGACCTTGCGCATTCACACGGTCTGATGCCGCGATGAATGGTATAGTATATGGTGAGCTGATCTGATGCGTTTCATCCCTCATTCAGTGATTGACGCTATGGCTCTGCAGCGACTCTCAAGCACCCAGAGGGCGAAACGCCTTCTGTGATCAATCCCGAGGGAGAGACGTCTGAATTGACCAACCTGAATGTACGTGATATCATAGACTGTCGACACAACTGACCTCATTCCGTATGCCTTCACTGGACCTAGCTTCGAGAGCGGAACTCGCGTACGCTGCTGTGTTGACTCTGTTCGCTATACCGAGCTCATGTCTTCCTTTGAACAGAAGGCATCAGCACCGGGACCGCATCTCGATCACTGGAGCAGCACGCAGTCTCAACCCACGTCCCCACGATTGGCAGGATCGAACTCCACGACGCCGACCCAGCCGCCGACGTCTTTGGAAAACAGCTCCAATCTGAGCGCAAGGAGAGCATGGGAGGCAAGAACATAGCTCTAAAGATCCTCTTGCTAGGTCAGAGCGAGAGCGGCAAGAGCACACTGTTGAAACGTAAGCCGTCTGTTTCTCCCCCCGCATTGAGCTACGAGAGCGCCCTCCTGTGACTATATGATGCCTTATCATGCTCATGCCCCTAAGATCTGAATGCTGTTATAGAGTTGCAGCTCGCATATGCGCCTTCCGCCTTCCGTGCAGAGCGGATGGTATGGCGCTTGGTGATCTATCTCAACCTAGTACAATCCGTCCACCAGTAAGTCATCCCTAGTCCGCGCGCTAGGACTGGACAACCTTCTGCGAACCGTGCAAGGACAGAAGCTCATGCCTAACTGCAGGATCCTCGATACCATCGCAATATCGCCAGACGTGGACGAGCCAGGGGCTATGCCACAAACCGGACTGACAGACACATCCCTTGCGCAACCGTCCACCGGTGCTGTACTATCCGACGAGGAGTTTGCACAGAAAGGCGCCCAGTATGCCGAACGCCTCGCGCCGCTGCTCGATCTGGAACAACGCTTGATTGCCATGCTCGCAAAGGATGACAAGCATGATGTGACGCCGTTGGGCGATAGATCCTCCCCAAGCCAGTCACATGGTCCTTACGATGGTCGACCTTCCCTGTCAGCGTCAGTGTCAGTCGAAACACGTAGCCCCGCCGTGCAAGGCGCGCGCGCGCCCAGCTCATCAGGCTCGCATCAATCGCACGGAAAACTCGCGGCGGCGCGCCCGAAGTCGGATTGGAAGAGCGTGCTTTCGCGTTCTCTCAACACAGTACGTTCCGCGGTTCTCAATCACCCCAGGAGCGATGTGGTCAAAGGCTCGCCACTCTTGCATCCATCGCACGGCGAGGTCGCGGTGCGCACGACGTCAAATTGGAAGAAGTCACTCTCGCTATCTCGTGCAGTATCACGCCCCGCAGCCCCCGACCAACCCGGAGGCGGGGTTGTCGGATGGTGGGAAACCCCGTCAGATCCTGTGCATGTTCTAGGCCAGTGCGCCCGCGACATGTCCGCGCTTTGGGCGGATCCTTGGGTTCGCACGCGCCTGGCGGCCCGACGAATTCGCTTGGAAGAAAGTAGCGGATTGTGCGTCGCCCTCTCTCTTAAATGCTCTGGAAAGCTAACGCAGCCTGCGCGCGTGAAGCTTCTTGGATGAAATTGACAGGATCACTGCAAAGAAGTACATACCCACGGACGGTGAGCGCCCAGTCTGATACTGTCCAATCAGTCGTCGAGTCTCACGCTGCGTAGATGATGCGCTCAAGGCAAGGCTCAAGACAACCGGAGTTGTCGAACACGCGATCATGGCAACAACGGGCCAGAGGAACAAGTCAATTGAGTGGAAGATCTTCGACGTCGGTGGCGAGCGCAGCCAGCGACAAGCATGGGCGCCTTACTTCATGGGCGTCAACGCGATCATCTTCCTCGCTCCTATCTCTGCTTTTGATCAGGCCCTTGCCGAGGATACACGAGTGAACAGGCTAGAAGACAGCCTGTTGCTGTGGCGCTCAGTCGTCTCGAATAAGCTTTTACGGGACGCCAAGCTCGTCATATTCTTGAACAAATGCGATCTGTTGAAGGCCAAGTTGGAGAGCGGCGTTCGACTGAATCAGTACTTGGCCGTTTACGGCGACCGACCGAACGACTACGATGCGGTTTCACGATATCTTCGCAATAAGTTTGGTCTCCTTCATCAGCAGTATACGCCGAATCCAAGCCGCGAGCTCTTCAGTGCGTCTTTTGCTGATTTCATGACCTCTTGAACGGTTCTGACGGGATTTGCTAGTTCACCTTACAACAGTTACTGATACTCGCCAGACGTCAGTCATCATCGCAAAGGGCACGTTCCTGTCTGCTTACTCCAAGCGCGTTCGCTAACGTCGGCATTACATACAGTCCGCGACATCATTGTCCAAAATAACCTCAAAGACTCGAGAATGCTCGTCTAATGAGGTCAGAGGTCTCTCTCACACCCTCCAGGCCCGCACTGTAGGCTGATGTGATGCCCACGAAGCTCGTCTCCATAGCTTCATTGCAGTTCTATTCTCGATACTTATCACTAGCAGTAGCAGGACGAAAGCTACCCGGGAGTGAAGAGGGTTGAGTTGTAGGCATTGTGAACTTGTGTAAGGTAGCCGATTGATTCACGAGCTTGACAACCTTACTCCAATAACGCACGTTGAATCGTGGGATATATCACATTGCATCTGTCGTGAGGCGCTAAGATGACATATGTACGACGTACTGTACACCATACGGATCGGGAAAGGCACGGGCGTAGCGCCAAAGACGGTTACACTACAGGACATCAAAACACATGATCGCCTACATAGCGACAAGATCGAATCGGTGCTCGCGGGACTTCAGAGTTTAGAACGGTGGGTGCAGGGGGGTCTGGGTTCGTAGCGTCAGCATTGACTACTATTCAGCGAGGAGTTAACACACTTTATCCAACTGGCGCTCTATTGCCTCCTTCAGTAGTACACCGGTTGTGATCAGGGCATCATCGAAGTCTAAGAGGGGACAGCATCGAGGGCATGCTCGCACTTCCTTCCGTGCTGTCCGAGCTGCTTTCAATATGGCCGCGTCAATTGACGATGCCTTGATTGACGCAAGAACGTTGGCTACGAAGTTCAACCACCACCGTGGCGTATCGTACGGGAGCAGTTGATTGAAGAGAAAGGCCTCTGGGTTGCGAGAGAACCGAAAGCCCATCATGAACTTCTCGCATGAACATATCTTGCAGACACAGGGACCAGGATGCTCGGAATGGGGTTCAATGGGCCGCAACTCGCGAGCCGACTCCACGTCGGCTTTGGCGATCCAGTCGGGATGTGGGTGCAGCTCGTCGATGCTTAGCTCCCGCAGAACTGCATCATAAAAGGCAGACCGATATCTGCCTAGCAGTATGATAGATTGCGCGGGTAGATCGTTGAACTCGGGCACGACCCGCCCGTCCTCGATGAACCAAGTACGGCAGACGCTCGCACGCGCGGAAGCGCGCAGGGCGATTCTGAGCTCGAACTTCCACGCAAGTGCGTACGCCGCCTCTGGATGCTTCTGTGCGAGCTGCACAATGGCATGCCCTACCGCACGGACCAGAGGACCGCAGTCGAATTTGCGCGCGAGGGTAGCAGCGCGCCTGATGTCGGTCACGGTCGTGAGCGAAGGCTCAGGACACTGCGTGCGCGGGTAGCTGAAGCACAGAAGTAGGCGGAGAGATGTCGCATCCTCTGACATTTCTATCATGGGCTTATCTGCATCGCCGTCGGTGGGCTGGGGCAGAGAGAGCATGTCCGCAAAGAAGGGTGATATCCAGCGTAAGAGTAGTCGGTGGACGGCGAAGACGACCCCGTCCGACGAGCGCAGACGGATGTCAGCATCGGCGGCATTGAATACAGACGTTTCCTCGTCGTCCGAAACAGATATTGGGCTCGGCGAAAGGGACATGGCGGTAGGAAACGACGCCCACACGGCCCAAGCACATCGCATCAATACATGCTTTCGGCCCGGATCTCCGAAAAGTGGCCCTGTGCACTTCCTGAGTACATTGGATGTGCAGTTCTCTGCATTCGCTCGTCGCTGGCAGCCAGCCAAGCGAACGCGTTTACGATCTCCCTTCTCATCCAAGCATCTGCAAAAGTTCCGAAATAACCATATGTATTCGAGGTTCACACTGGTACAATGCTACCTACAACTATGAAAGTATCCATCCCAGTCCATTTGCTGCTCCCATGCTCGCGGAACTCCGCGAGCACAATGCGCAGCAAAAAGAGAGGAGGTGGAGAAGAAAGAAATCCCCCGACGACGCAAGCCTGTAGTGCAGCGGCAAGGTCATCGCGTCCCCGGGTTGCAAGCAGAGCCCAGGGAACAAGGGCGGCAAAAATTAGATAACCAATAATGGAGGCGGTGCCTCCATAATAGTGGTTAAACTATTAAGAACAGATACTACACTTGATCTAAGCCAAAAGGCCAGAGTGGTAAGGTTTGCCGAACGCGGGAGCGCCCAAAGTCGTGCGCCGCCCCCGCGCACGGACCAGCGCATGATCTGGCCTGCTCGGCGCTTCCAACGGCACCGCGTCCCTCAGAGTCGTCCACCGTGCTAGCGAACCCGCGAATATACACGACATGAACACAGACCCCAGTGACAAGCCCATCCGTCAACCGTATCCAGCAAGCCGATACGTTCGCATTCGAGAAGTAGACGCAGTCCTGATTCTGTCCAACCCTTTACACTGCATGACAAGGTTACGAAGTAGTGCAGTCAATATACATAGTGCCAACGATGCTCGATATTCATAGCCATCACAGTCTGTTCCAATCTCGTGAAACAGGATGCAACCTAACAAGAAAAGGTTCACGCTCTTGGTCGTCATCGCCAATCGCCTCAAGAACCCCACCCCACAGCGTCGCCATACACCATAAGAGACTTATGGGGTAGTATCATCGAAAGCATCGCCTTCCAACCTCCAGGGTTCCAGAATCGCGCGCCGCGCCGTCACAATTCCCTCCCAAACCGGAAACTGCCCCATCTCCGCCTCGTCGAGCGTACTCAGATCGCATACACCCGTCAACCTGAACAGGTCCTTGTACACCTCCGCCACCGCGTTGTCTTGTATGACCTTGTACGTTTGCGGCAAGAGACCAGCGAAGAAGATGTCGTAAGCCGAAAAGCCACGACCCCGAGGAGACGTTCCTTCAGACGACCTCTCGCGAAAGACTACGCCCGCCTCGTTCTTCGATACGGCCGGCGCCATGACCAAACGGAGAACAGGCCAGACTTCGACCTGCCCGCGAGTCTCATGGTCGAAGATGCCGATCTGGAAGGGGTCCATCCAATCGAAGGTCATGTCCGCGCTACGAGTAGCATTCCAGCTCGATTCGACGCGCACTATGATTGGCGCGATGTTGCTGGAGCGGACTTCGGGTCTCATGAGGACAGGAATGACCAAATCGACGCTGCGGGTGTCGATAGGGCAGATGACGCCCACCCCGCGCGCAAGGTGGCCCCAGAGGTACTTCTGCTGCAGCACACGCTGGTCCTCGACGCGCGCCCAGTGGTTGAGCCAAATGCGCGCGTCTTTGAACGCGGACTTGAGAGGCTCTCGGTCCTGCTTATCGTGCGGTTTGAGGTTGAGAACGTCGTCGATGGATTTGTCTGGTACAAGAGCCCTGAGAAACTCTTCTACTGTGACCGTACGGTGCAGCCCGTCGTTGTGCGAATCCGTGGCGCTGACAGAGACCGGGCCGTCCTCGGGCCGACGCGCCGCATTGATGGCCAAAAGAAGGATCAAAGCGCTCACAACCTCTCCTCGAGTGCCCGCGCTGACTCCTGGCCGCTCCAGATGAGAGAGCAGAGCCTTTGGCAAGTCTACAGAGTAGCGCTCCACAGCCATCCTTGCAGCCTCGGCGAGCAGAGGCTCAGACGGCGATATCGTGAGCGGTGTGTGTGTTTCGGGATTCGTCGAGATGATGAGACGCATGTGGCGCCCAATCAGCGCACGCTCGCGCTCGTTGTCGGGCGCAAAATCGAGAGGGAGCAGGACGGTGAGAGCGGAGAGAGTTTGCGTGCCCGATAAAACACGGTCTGGGTCGTAGGCAAGTAGCTTGGTGCATGCATAGGAAGCCACGTTCTTTTGGAAGTGTTCGTCGCCGGCGTTGTACAGAGCTCCGAAGCTACACATACTATGAACAATGACCATATTTCAGACGATCGGAGGCACACTTACAGTGCTCTCCCTGAGTGAGTTAACCGGCGAGTCGAAGCCAGCCGTTCGAGCCGCCACGAGCCATTGTTTGGCACCTTCTCCTCGCTCGTAAAGATATCGAACGGTACGACGGTGTGAGGACAATCAGCGTGCGGGGTATGGCGGCTGTACGGGTCGGGCTTGTACATCTGCAGCACTGTGCCGATGACGACGATGAATATCGGTAAATTGTGTAGATCGCACATCGCGTTCTCGAGCTCTGACAGGAGCGAAATGTCGTTGTGTTTGCCAACGTTGCGCGTGAGCGTGGATGAGCCGTCTAAGGTGATGATGAGCCAGGGAGCAGGACCTGATGCCCCGTGGTCTTCCAGCCAGCGTACAAGCTCCCTCGCCGCAGTCTGGAGCGGGTTGTTCTCTACATCATAATATCCTAAAGTATCTCAACGTCGTTGATCGAGATATTATAGAGGTAACGCCTCACCCGTAGGTAAGTCGGGGATGCCCGCATAGTGTTGTGCTTTGGACTGTGAGGTGTATGAGACTTGAGGAAAAGAGAGCAAGATCTCACCAGGCTCACCGTGTCCGCGAGATCGACGACATCGTCCCAAAAGTCCTTGCGAAAGCCGTTGTGCTCTTTATACGTCCCTCCTTCATTCATCTTCCGCGAAAGGGTAGCCGCCAGGTCCAGATACCCCATATCGGAATCGGTATCTATTCAAGAACGTGTAAGGGACATTCGCGGGGTGCGGAGGACTGCAGTACTCACGTTCTTTATACAGATCTTGAAGAGCGGTCGTCAGGCACTCAAAAAGGCCACGGAGGAACGTTTGAACGTGCACCCGCACACTCTTCCGTATCTCAGCGTCTCTTATACTCGCATGGCGGAAGTCCTTGTAGCACTCGACTAGGAAGTCTCGTGCTGCGCGGTCCGTGGGAGGGTAAACGCGATCTATGTCAGAATCGGTTGTTAGAAATAACGGAACTCCCTGTCAGAGAAAACCGTTGTACCGTCGCGTGGGTCCGCGATATTGACATTGAGTGTCATGCAGAACCTCGAAAGCTCGCGAGCGGCGCGGGATTTGCCGGTCCCGGTGGACTGAACGAAGGGCAGAACGCGAGGTTGGGCTGTGGAGCTTTCTCTCATGTACAACTGGCATGTTTTGAAGAGGTTTTCGGCGGCGTCACCGTGGTACGGTAGATTCCACGCAGCTATGATAGCTATCGCACAGCATTAGGGCCTGAGTACGGTGCCATCGGGAGTCGAATAGCGCACCGTTCATCTCGCTCTGTTTGCGCGGATCTGGATCGGGTAACGTCCTGGTACCTAGGGACGGGCCTCGTCTTCCCTGTACTAGTATCGCTAGATGTCAGTCATAGATGTAGAGCAGGTATACAGCGTACACTTACACCAGTCTAAAAGCGGTTGGAATCTCTGTTGATCAAAAACGCGCTGTAGAGCGTCTTGGAGGTCTCGGTACTTCTCAAACTCGCAAGCGCGCTCGAGGATAAGGAGGTCGTTGCCAAGCGCGCCCATTACGTCGTACGGGAAGAGAGCGAGCAGGAGCTGGAAAGCATCGCCGCGCACGGCGATACAGTCGCCTTTTGAGATAAGCTCGGGGAGAATGGTGGTCTCGAATACGCGTATTTGTCGTATATTCGCGCGCGTGAGGCTTTGGACGGATGTCATGGCTGTCGGTCGACTTCAGCACTGGCAGAAGGAACGCGCGTGTGTGGTGGTCGTTAGAGAGAGAGAGAAGTACAGACGAGCACATTTCGAGGCGATCAGGGAGTGCTGTCCATCGAGGAATGCAATTCCCGTATTGAGCCAGCGGCACGACGATGACGCCGTAACGCATGCGGGGCGGGATGCGCGCCAAGGTCTGAGTGCCCACGGCCGGAAGCCGTCCAGACCGGTTGTATGATGCCCATACACATCGTAGCTATAGTTGGGGTGCTCAGCGGAGATGGTATTGGAGACGCTACGAGCAGTATGATAGGGTGCGTCGTTGTGCGTGGCAAGAGCCAAGTCGCGTCGAGTCGCGACTCTGTCTCGCACCACGACCTCCGGGTGATCAATTCCGACCGTTGCCTGTTGGTTGCCTGCCTTCCAGTTATCCTTACATCCGCATCCTAATCGCTCTTATCACGGGCCCACAGCAATCCCATTGCTTCTCAGCAGCAAATACTGCTTTCATCACTCGATCGCGTTTTGAAAGGTAGTAGACAGTGTCTACGCCGAGGCCATCCCCACCTACATTGACTATGGACGAGCAATTCAATGCACCCAGCGCAGAGTTCGCCTTGGAGTCTTCGGATGGCGTCTGCTTTGCAGTTCACAAGCTCATGCTTGAGCTCGCGTCGCATGTCTTCCGCGACATGTTGTCTTTCCCCCAACCCGCCACAGCCGGATCGCCATCGCGTCCTGTTATCTCCATGAGCGAAGATGCACAATCGTTACGCATCCTCTTGCGCTTCTGCTATCCTCGCACATTCTGTCCTGAACCGGCGCTGGTCGGGCTCGACGACATCAAGCGCGCAGCGACGCTCGCGCAGAAATATGCCATCGAGCTGATGCGCGACGCGGCCGAGCGGGCGCTCATCAGCTTCGCGGAAGACCCCCGGGTTCAGCAACCTGATGTTGCATATGCTGTAGCCTGGCGGTACGAGTATCCGGACGCACTGCGTGCGGCGGCGCGGCGTTCGTTGGAGCCATTCTCCGTTTCACTACATGCTCCCGAGTTCGAGGACGTCCCCGCCACATCGTCCATAGCGCTTCGTCATTACCAAAGACAGGCCGGGCGCGTACTCCAAAGTCTGCTTGATGCTCCAGCAGATAAGGCATACCCCGTCACATGGATACAACATAATCTATTTGCTGTCATGGACTCGGCGAACGTCCGCGACAATGTGAGATGCTCGTGCGAGCAAAAGAAGATCTGGTTCTTATCGTTTGGCCTTGTTCAAGTTATGCAGAGGATACGCTCGTGGTGGTGGTTCTTTGTGCATAGCGTCGTATCGAGTTTAAAGCACAACCCCACGAGGTATTCCCTCGACGACGCCTTCTCTCTGCAGTTCGAGGCGCTCTTTTCACCGCGCCCACCGACTAATATCTGCCCGCAATGCACAAAAGATGTGCGAAACATGGAGAGGGTACTTGAAGAGACCAAACGCTGTCTTCGGGTGGAGATCGAACGACGGTTTGCCCAGGTGAATATGACCTTCGACGAACATGTGCCTTATTTAATTATCTACGAAAGTTACTGACCCGTAGAACAGATACCACTGGAGGCGCCGTTCATGAAAGCAATAGGGAAAACCTAGATTGGGTTTTTGAGATCTCGGATGGTCTGTCTGTAGCTCTGACGATCGGGTAGGACTCATTGCAGTAGCACCATGTACTATAGTATGTATCAAAGTTGGTATATAAGCTAAGGTGTTCGCGTCAAGCGTCACGACTCCCGTTCCCGCTTTTGATGAGTGGCCCGCTGACCCGGCCCGGGCCGCGTTCACCGTTCATCACCGTGCCAACAGGTGCCAACCTCGCATTCCGGGTTGATTCGACCTGCTCCATACCTTCACTCAATAGCGATTGCCAGAGACTCGATGCGCTCTGGAGATGATATACATGCCTCGTACAATCTACCGCACAGGCGACGTCTATGCTTTGGCTTCCACATTCAAAAGGCGTAGACTCTAAGCTCTAAGGCTTACTGAAGATGCAGCGCCACAACTCCCTTGCCTCCTGCCACCATCTTCGCCAGAATACTCGCCATTGCTTCTCTTCAAGCTCAAGACGACACGCAACACTAGACTCGCATGAACTGCGTTTCACTCGAACGCCCGCCACAATGACCACGGCGGGGGAAACATCATCGTCTGCACCAACCTTCGACGCGCTATTCAACGCGCCTGACACCGAGCTGGTCCTACGCTCCTCGGACGGTGTCGATTTTGCCGTGCACAAGCTTATACTTCAGCTGGCTTCTCCTGTATTCCGCGACATGCTCTCTCTTCCCCAGCCGTCTACACCCGCGTCGTCGCGCCCCGTGATCTCGATGGTGGAGAACGCGCCCTCGCTACGACTTCTATTGCATTTCATCTACCCGCGCACCTTCTGTGAAGCGCTTCCACTATCAAGTATAGCGGACGTCAAGCGCGCAGCCGCTCTCGCTGGCAAATACGATATCCAGTTCATGCGTGAAGCCGCGGAGATGGCTCTTGTGCTCCTTGCGGATGACCTACCAGACATTGCATATGCGGTAGCATGGAGATACGAGCTTCCCATAGCACTGCATGCAGCCGCGCAGCGCCATCTCGGGCCTTTCCGTGCCGCCCCTCTCGACGCGCCTGAATTCGACGAGGCGCCTGCTTCGGCCTTCAAGCGACTGGAACACTTCAGCAACACCGCACGTAAACGAGTCGAGGGCTTGCTGTTGGCCGTGAATGATCCGCAGGAGGCCTTTTGCTGGATCAAGCTCACAAGCCCAACTCGTCTGACCAAGGCCGTCACCGACGATCCCTCCTGCATGTGTGGGCGGAAGCGTGTGTATTTCAAGGGCGCGATATTCGGGCCCGGTGCACCCTCGAAGCAGTCTGTGCCTATCTGGTGGTGGAGATGTGTTCATGCCACTGTTCGCATCATAGCCCAGCAGCGATATCTGTTATCTATAGACGATCCCTTCGATACAGCAGTCACAATCGCACAAGAGCAAGTCTTGCAATGCCCTCAATGTAGACTGAAAAACCTGTCCGTCATATTCGAAGCGACGAGGTACTGCCTTCGTGCCGAGATCAAGAGGCGGATCAACGAGGTGAGTTGCAGCAGGATCGAGGCATTCCTCCGAGTCCCTTCCACTGCCTTGACTGACGCGTTCAACGCAGGTTCAAGTCGATGCGCCGTTCATTCGCAAGTCTGCCTGAACTATTATGAATGATCAACTTAGATGTATAGTGCAGTACCGGTCGTAATGCAGCCGACGGTGTAATGACTATGTGCTGATGGCCCTCGTATCTTTTTTTTTGTCAAAGTCAATGAGAATCATACGGATTTGACTGCATTGCTTGGCCATTTCGTGGATGAAAGCTTCGCCGCTCTGCTTGTGCAGACAACATAGATTGAGTGAAATCCGATGTTTGAAATGGCCATAACGTCCGCGCGCATGGAGGCCACGGCTGAGTACTTGAGTGCACGCGGTCAAACTTGCAAACAGCACGAGGCAAACGCACCTCGTTCTGAACCGCCAGGAGCAATTCTCCAGGCAGTGAACTCGTTCTTCTACCTTCACGAACAACAGTCTGTTCCTGCTGATCCCGAAAGTACACCCTGTGCTTATACACCGTTCAAGGCTTGTTCGATCACTATGCCCATTTCGCACCCTCAGACAACGGGGTTAGCATTCGACGAGCAGTTCAACGCGCCCGATGCAGATATCATCATACGCTCATCCGATGGCGTCAACTTTGCTGTATACAAACACATCCTGCAGTTAGCCTCACCTGCGCTCCGCGACATAATATCCCTATCGACGTCTCCCCCTTCGTCTCTCCCCGTCGCGGACATACCCGAGGATCAGGTGTCCACGCGCATGCTGCTACAGTTCTGCTACCCACGCACGGTCTGCCCAGAGCCCGAACTCCTCGGGATGAACCAAGTCGAGCGCGCGGCAGATCTTGCGCAAAAGTATGGTATTCGCATCATACGAGAGGCGGCCAAAGCGGCGCTCGTGGCTCTGGCGGCCACTCCCAGCGCCTCGAAGCCCTACACAGTGGCACTTCGGTACGGGTACACGGACATACTGCGCCCGATCGCCCGTCGCCGTTGCTCGTTACTTCCCGAGCCCGACAAGAAGGGGCGGGATGCCAGAAGTAGTAGTGACCTCAGCGCCGATCCGAGTCGCTTCCTGGAATGCCTCGACGCCACAGGATCAGACATCCTCGGGCGGTTCAGAAGTGCACTCTCGGCCGCATGCGCGGATCTCCTTCGCGCGGGCTCTTCTCGCGAGCATCCCATTTCCTGGATCAGATACGACGAGGTCTACGAGGAGGCGCTCTCGTACACGCGCGACAGGCCCGATATCCGCTGTACGTGCGAGAAAGTGCCGCTCTGGATTCACGTCCTGGTTATGACGCCAGACAGCTGGGACGAACGCCCGGCGTGCAAGGATATCCGGGGCTGGTGGTGGTCGTACGTGCGGGAGATCGTCACGGCCATCCAGAAGCAGAGCGGCAATGGTTCGTTAGAATACACTGTCAACACGGCACGTGCGAATGCGGTGAAGCAAGCGACGCTGTGCGCGCGGTGTCGACGGGACATAGAGAAGATCATGAGCATACTGGAGATCCCCACGAAGATGAACTTGATGAGCGAGATCAATAAGCGCGTTGAAGAGGTGCGTCGGCGATCTGCATACATACCACGTGAAATAATGTCAGTAACAAATCACGCAGATCCCGCTCGAGACGACGCTGCCGGACTCGAAGTGACTGCTTGAACAGAGTCACCCAGGGCGGTTGCATCACATGTCAATGCGTAGTACCTCAGTAATGTAAGCTGACGGATGATCGCTACGTGGTCTGCGATCAGGAGATCGGGGAGCACACTGCTTGGTAGGTTGCATTAGACTAGAAACGCATCGCTATGACGGCGTGATCAAGGGGAGTGCAACTACAGAAGTAATTAAATCCGCGCGTTGTCGCTTCCATAGGAGTGTTTAATGAGAGAGAAACATCACAGTCAAAGTGCAGAGTAGTGTCAATGATGCTCGATGCTCATAGCTAAGTATCAAAGTCCGACCAGCCTAGTGAAACACGGTGCAATCTGACAAACGAAGGCGCCTCCTGAGATCCTCATCCCACAGCATCCCATCCACCATGATATAGAGTGCACCGCTGCACGGTTCAGGGAGGTTCTGGCTTTTTGCTGAGGTGATGGCAAGAGCCAACCCGCGCTGCGCCGTCTCCGATCACAGCAAACGCGCCTCCCTTACCTCCCACCACGACCATGTCCTCCCTCCGCACGCGCAAATCCGCGACACCGACCTCGGCCAAACGCACGCCCTCGACCAGCAAGCTCTCGAAGCCCACCAAGCGGCCCGACGCGGACGCGCGCAAGTCGCGCGTCGACGACCGCATCAAGAAGCGCCTGAGCACGCGCTACGCCGACATCTCCGGCCCGACGTCGCTGAGCGGCGCACCGGCCGTGCCCTCGCTGCCCGCTGCACTACGACCTGGCGGCTCAGGCTTAGGACTTGGATTCTCAGGCAGCGCAAGAGACAATGATGAGAGCGCCGCGCCGGTCGTCGCGCGGCCGACGAAGGAGGAGTTGAGAGAGGCGGAGAATAAGCTGCTCGATAGCGACGAGTTTGACGCGGACGCGTTTATGAAGGCGAAGCTTGCGAACTCGACCGAGGCGGAGCTGAAGAGCCTGCAGAGCTCGCTGCAGGGCTCCAAGGACGACGTCGCCGTCGATCTACAGCGGACGGTGTTCAAGAAGTACGTCTTATGAATTGGACTATGGCAATGAGATAATTGATGTATGTACAGCTACGCCGAATTCGTCCTGATCTCGAAAGAGATCAGCACGCTCGAGAACGAAATGCTCGAGCTCAAAGAGTCGCTCGCCGAATGGAAGTCCATGCCGGGCGTGCTCCACATCGACGACGGCGCCTCGGCCGCGGACCGCCGGCGCAACGTGCGCTCCTCGCTCGCGGACCTGCGCGTGCTCTACGCCGGCCAGATGCAGGCCTTACATTCCCAAATCGAGGGCAGCGCCAAGTTCGTGCCGACGACGCCGGGAAGGCACGTCGTGGGCGAGGTCGACGGCGTGGTCGCGCTCAACGCCGCGACGTACAAGCCCATCCACAACGTCCGCTTCGTGCTGCTCGACGACGCCGTGCTCGTCGCGCGCCGGCGCAAGCGGCGCGCAGCCGGTGAAAGCGAGCGGTTAGTGGCGGACCGGTGCTGGCCGCTGGGCGACATGCTCGTGCTCGATACGAAGGACTCGGCGGGGCTCGTGAACGTGTTCAAGATCAGGCACGGGAAGGAGACGCACGTGTATAGGACGGATACGAGCGCGGATAAGAAGAACTTGCTGGCGCAGTTTAGGTCGGTGGCGGAGGAGCTGCAGCAGAAGCGGAGGAGGGAGAGAGAGGGCGAGCACGAGCGGCGCAAGACCGTCTGGTCTGCTTCAGACGTACGCTCCCTCTACCATCCAATCTCTCTTAAAGCTGATGATGGCTCACAGAAAACGGGCGACGACTGGATGCGCGACCTCGCCCAACAAGCCGGCATGACGGACAGCGCGAAAGAAAAGGCCGAGCGCGACGCGCGCTGGGCCGCCGACTTCACCGACGACCTCACCGTCGCCATCGCCCTGCGCGAATGGGAGCGCGCCGTCGCGCTCGTCGAGCAGGGCGAGTCCAAACAGGCCGTCACGCCCGCTTTGCAATCCAAGCTCGCGCCCTTGACCGCGTCTCTGACCGCCTCTTTGCTCCAAGCCCTCTCGAGCCCGCACAACACCAAGCAGCCTGTGGTCAGGATCATTCATCTGCTCGTGCGGCTGCACGCGGGCGCGGCGGCGCGCACGACCTTCCTCTCCGCGCGCGCCGAGGCGATCAAGCGCCTGATCCGCATGATCCGCTTCGAGGGCCAGGCGGGCGTCTACGTCAACGACCTCGCCGTCGTCGTCTTCACCGCCGTCAAGCACACCGCGGACTGGTACCTCGCCGCGTTCAAGGACAACGCGGACGCGTCGGCTTTAGTTGAATGGGCAAGGGCGCAGGTGGAAGGGTTCGCGAGTGCGTTTAGGAGACAGGTTTTTGGGGGCGGGTTGAGCGAGCGGGCGGTGGCGGAGGAGGCGGTCGCGATTGCGCTGTTGCAGCATCGGAAGCTGTTGCAGGAGAGCGGGATCGATTTCCGCTTCTTACTCGACGACCTCCTTCAAGAGAACCCGCCGGAGAAGCCCGCGCCGCCGCCGACGATGGTGCTCTCGTTCAGCACCGCTTCGTCTTCTTCGTCCTCCAGCTCGAGCGTGACGCCGAGGAGTAACCGCACGACGCCCGCGCCCAGCCGCGCGCGCACGCCCAATCCCCCCACTACATCCCAGCCCGACTCCAGTAGACCGCCGATACCGCCCATCCCCGCGTCGTCATCCGCGCCTATACGCTCTACGACGCCTTCCTCAACCGGACGCGCTCCGACGCCCACGTCGTCCGGCCGCGCGCCGACGCCTACGGGTCGATCGAGCACACCGTCAGGTTACAGGGAGAGGGAAAGGGAGCGGGAGAGAGGAGACAGACCCACAACGCCCTCGGCGTACCGCTCCACCGCGCCCTCGACCCCCTCCCGCGGCGCATCGCGCCCCTCAACGCCCGACCGCTCCACGGCGCCCGCCTCGCCGCGCATGCCGACGCCTATCCGCGCGCAGGCGTCTTTTACGTCTTCCGTGTCGTCTCGCAGCGGCGTTTACGGTGGACTGGGGACGGATGGTGGGTATGGGGGGAATGGGCCGGAGAGCCCGCGGCTGCCGCCGCGGAGCAGGGATCGGCCGCCGAGCGTTAGTACGAATGCGAGTGGGGTGAGCGGGAGGGGAGGGGGGACGTATTTCTAGTTTGGGCGAGAGGAGAGGATGAGGGAGGGGGAGCGTGGGGGTGGGGGTGTATGATATGGTTTGGTTTGGTTGGAGAGTATGAGGACGGATGGATTCGCGCCATCAATTGTGCTTTTGCTGTCGTTTGTGTGGCTACTGTATACCTATTGGAAATGATACCTTTCATATCGGGCTTAACTGGGATCTGGATCGATACTCGGAGTTTGAGCGACTCAGACGAGTCGCGAGGTTGCGCTCGTTTGGACTGTGGGCTCTGTCCATATCGCGGCGCACGAGCAGTAGGTATGCTCCTGGGAAGAGAACTCTACTGGACATATTCATGAACAAGTAGGGTTAGTACTCTATTGATCAGTATGTGCGCTCCGCGCGCCAAGGTCATCCTCGACTCCTGAACAGAGATGTCCTCGATCCTGCGCAATCGAAGGCTTATAGCCGAGCATATCCACAGCTACGAGTGCACTCGCTGTGAGGCCACTCTTCGGCTAGTCGCCGCACACAGGGGAGTGGCAGGGGAGTGCTTGTTGCGGGGTTGCGGGGATAGCAGCCCCGATCTCGACCGGAAGGCAGGCCCTTCTCTCTCACGCGACCGAGCCCGAGCCCACTTTTACACGCTTGATCTACTACTGCCACACTGAGCGTTTCTCGTTCTGAGTCTGTCGTATGTGCTTGGGTTGGCTTGTGGTGCGTGGCCGTCGCTGTTGACGTTTGCGGCCGGTCCCTTGACACGACTGTCTTGAGTCTTACGACAATTATGTATATGAGATGGACATTCCCATATCACTGGAGAGCTCATTCTGTTAGACCTACCCAGCCGCGCCGGCGTGGCTGACTGGTGTCTAACACATTCGTCACTAAACAGATGAATCCTCGAGCGTGAGGAGAAATGCATTGTTGTATCAAACGCAGGACGATCTTCTAAGTACATGAGTAGCAACATTGTGCCATACCATGAATGACATGCATCATTCGTCTTCGCGCATGAACGGCGCTTCGATAGGGACCTGTGCCACACAAGTTGATGTCAGAAAAGGTAGTATTTGAGTGAGTCTTCTAATGCGGCGCACCTGGCTTACCCTTCGCTCAATCTCTTTGCTCAGGATGGTTTTGGTAACCTCCAGTTTATGCCGTACGTCGCGCTGCATACATCCAGCGCACTTCGCTGCCTCACGCAGAACGCTCGCCAGTGGTTCAGAAAGAGATTCAGAGAGCAATAACTTATGTCTCTCACGCAACGAATTGGAAGCCGATTTCGCGACAACACGCACGTAATTGGCCCACCACGCAGGAGCGCGGACTGATATATCGTCTTCTGTACTGAGAGTTTCATCAACCAAGGCTACAGTACTGCTCCTACAGCGGCAAGGTTCCCTTAGGCCTGAAGGATCATCGTCTGAAAACGCAGCGTGAAGCACCCCGCTCATGCCGTGGCAATGAAGGCGACGGAAGTTGCCGTAGCGGAGCTGCATCGATATGAGAGTTATCTGAACGGATATACGCTTTCCGTATTTGCGAAGCGTCTGCAGGGCAGACGCCGGGACCTCGCTGAATTCGAGGGCATCGAGGGATTCGGTAAATGGCTCCAGTGAGCGCCGCGCGGCCGCGCGCAGAGCCTGTGGGTACTCAAACCTCCACGCCACGACGTATGCAACGTCGGGCTTGCTCTGCGCGAAGCGGATCAGCGCCGTCTCCGCTGCTTCGCGCATGAAAGTGATATCGTATTTGAGCGCAAGAGCTGCGACTCGCTTGATATCCGCGATCTCTGATAGATCGGGCTCGGGGCAGAAAGAGCGAGGGTACGTGAAGTGCAACAGGAGCCGGAGGGACTGGGCGTCCTCGCTCATACCGATGGTGGTGCGAGTTGGGGAGTCATGATCTTCAACTGGGGGAGGAAGAGAGAGCATGTCACGGAAGACGTGCGAAGCCAGTTGAAGGATCGCTCTGTAAACAGCGAAGTCGACGCCGTCTGAAGAGCGCAAGATCAGTTCAGCATCGGATGCGTTGAACTGCTCATCGAGAGCCGATGCTGGTTGTGATAAGCTCAGCGAGGTCATATTAAAGGCCTGTGATGGTGTGGAGGTCTAGAGAGGATGGTGGCGGTCACCGGTAAGTCGCGCCGGGAGCGTCGCGGGTTTAGTCCACTCATCTGCGGCTGCTCGGTCCGAAGGTTGAGGTGGACCTCCCACGCGTCCTCTTCCTTATACCACCACGATCTGACGGACCGTTATCCAAGGGAGCAGGCCATGCAATGCGGATCGTTCAAAGCACGCGTTTGGGCCTGCGCACACTCTTTACCTCGGTTCCGCCCAGGCTTCGCGGACCCGTAGGTCAATGACTCGCCAGCACCTCGCATGTTCAGAGGCTTTCGCCCTATCGGATATCCTCCCAGATAATAATTCACCAACATGACCTCCGAAGACTTCCCCTTTTCTACCGGTAGCGAAGTGAACCTATCTCTCTCCGACGGCCGACATCTCACCTTCACCATCCTCAAACCCTTCGAGCCCTTCGAAAAGGGTGTCGCCCTCCTCGCGCGTTGTCACTGCGATACATTCTCTCCCTCCACTACGACTGTCATCCTCAAAATCTTCGACCCGCGATTTCGCCACGAACGTTTGGAATACAGCTATTGTCCGGATTGGGTACTCGAAGTCGAGGATGCGGCGCTGGATGATTGTGAACCCTTGAGGTGGGGTGATAGTGGGCATTGTGGTGTCCCGAAAGAGTTATGGGAAATGGAATCGGACGAGGAGGACGGGGACGAGAAACGGGCGCCTATGGATGCGCATGCTGTAGCGCGGCTCGGTACGCGTTGGGAGAAGCACCTCCAGGACAAATCGAATCTGTCCTTCGAGTCTGAGCTTCGGGCGTATAGGTGCCTGAAAGAGTTGCAGGGGACATCTATACCGCGGCTGCTTGGCGTTGGGCGATACATCCCTTCAATGACTGAAAGAAGATTGAAGCCTCACGTACTCGTGCTCGAGTACATCGACGGCACCATAGCTCGATACGCGCCACCCGAAGCATTCACCCCGCCCATAGTCGCCCAGCTCTACCACGCCCTCGAACGCATCAACGAGCTAGGCGTCGTCCACAGCGACCTACACTGGGGCAACTTCATTATCACACCTTCACGAGGCGTAGTGATCGACTTTGGCGAGGCGGTTCTGAAGGAGAAGTGGGACGAGAGCGAGGAAGAGTGGGAGGAGTGCGTGAGGTGTTGTTGTGAGCCTGTTGCTGTTACGGCGCTGGTGAAGGGCAAACGCGTTGAGTGGAGCGAGGAGTTTGGGATGCCGGAGTATAAGCTACAACCAGTTCGAACGTCCGTCACGTAGCTTTCATCCCTTCACTACCTGTACCTCGTTTATAATATTCGACTCGCACAATAAAATGAAGTTTAGAACATTAGATCGAGTTTGCTAGTACTCAGATTACAACATCAAGTACAAAATGTCCATTCGGAGCAAAGTCCGTATCAGTTCAGATTGGGTATACTATACTTAGAGACCGAGGATCGAGCTAAGGCCGAGGTCGCCGAGGATGCCGCCGAGGCCAGAGATGAGGCCCTGGAGGATCTGGACGACGAGCTCAAGCACCTCCTGAACGAGGGTGAGGACGTTCTGAATGAGCGCCGCGAGGGTGATGCCGAGCTGGGTCGTAATGGGGATGAGCGAGGCAGCGTCGACGCCCTCGGTCGTGATGAGGGTATTGGCCGGCTCGAGGATCGCCTACGAGTGGAAGGTTGTAAGCAAGGAGGTATGTGCGGAAGACAGAGCGAAGACGTACCGAGAGAACGTTAGCGAGAGCCTGAGTCGTCGAGTCGGTGTCTGCGGAGCCGGCGGGGAGAGCGGCGAGCTTGGTGTTGGCGTCCGAGACGAGACCGTTGATCTGGTCAACGATGGGCTGGACGTTCGCAGCGGTGGCGTTGTCAGCCGTCAGCGAGGCTATAAAGCAATGAGTATGCAGCCCCACGATACTGTCAAAGCAAGAGGCTCACTGAATTGCGCGGCGACAGGGGTGACCGACGAAGTCAGGTCGTTGAGGATGGTGACTGCGTCCGAGTCCGCGCGCTTAGCGGGGACAGCAGAGGCGGCAGTGCCGAACGCGAGAAGCGCAAAGGTGGCGATCTTGCTGAGCGAGAACATCGTGTTGGTAGATGAGTAGATGAGTGAGGTTAAGAGGTGTGAGGCTGGTAGAGGGTGCTGAGGATGTAGAAGCTCAAAAGACAGTCGCGGTGCGCTGATGCTGAATCCTGGCCAGAGAACCACGCGTATTTATACCAGTCTCGAGCGATCGTACGGTACGAGATGCGTCACCGAGGTACGAGCAAGAGAAGCTCAAAGGACTGGCTCGAACGAGGTGAAATTGCATGGATGGATGGCGCGGGCAAGGGCGGGGAGTACGACCTACTCCAACGCGTGATCTCGTTGCGGTACAGTGGCGCGCTGGCTGTTGCAGCGGCAGCGGTGCCGCGAGTTTGTGGAGATCACGGCGGTAGGCGGTGTGAGCAAGCTTTTAGGTTTAGCGCGTTGCTACGACCGAGCGCTGGGGATCGCGACAACGGGCCAACGGCGCAGACGGTCGAGATCACGCTGGCCTTGGTTGGGTCTCGGCAAGTGGATATTCGGTCGCGATTTCCGTCATTGAAGACGTGAGCGTAGGTCATACTGTAGACTCGTTGTCGCCATGAGGAGCTCGTAGTCGTCAAGAATATAACTGGTTCCGAGCGCTGAAAGCTTGAAGGGGAACGCGCCCAGATGAGAAGAATGGAGCCGCCGGTTATTCGTGGCGTGATGCTTGAGAGCGGCGGTACCGTTGCGGCGGTTGGCGTCATGCTTGCTCCTCGAGGGCAAGGTGCGCTGCCGCGAGGAGCAAGGAGCGTACAGAGGCCGAAGTTTCAGGAAAGGAGTGGAGGAGGCGGTGGGCGGTGGCCCGAGCGAGTGAGCCACGGGCGCTTCGCGCGTGGGTTCAGCATAGCTCTTGATCCCAAGAACGTGGCGTGTCCTAGGTTTCGCGGTCTTCTGAATCTTGAGCAGCATCTTTGACGTCCTGTGAGATACGCGAAGCCCGTCGAGTCGAGTCTGCGTGGTCCTTCTTCCCTCAGAGAGCCGAGTTCGAGACCAAGGTCGAACGTCGAACTGCGTCTACGTCACGTCGGTCATGCGCGCCTTCGAGCAACAGAGCCCGAATTATCCTCGCCCCACACACGAGCTGACCTGGCTGTGAAATGCATCAGAGAGAAGCCCGAAGGTCGCTGTGCGAGAGGCTAATGTTGTTGAGTGTGCCTTTTGGAACCGCGGGAACATAGCAACAGCGCTCCACAGGCTGAGAATAAACTTGATCGCGTTTTCTGGGCACCAATGTCGCGTTCGTAGCGAGGAATGTACAAGATATAGGACATGGCCAGCTGATGTTGTGTAGGTGACGTTGAGAGTGAGCACCGAGGCTACAGTTATGAGAGTTGCTTGAGGACGTTGAAGAGGACGGCCATTGTGCTCACCCAGAAAGAGTGCTGCGTATACCCTTGGGCCTTGGCGTTGAAAAGAGTCCGTATAGCCTATGCAGATCGCTGACGCCATAAGAGTACGCAATGGAGAGATGACCTATTCTTGCGTGACCCCAACACTGGAAGATGTGAGATGGACGGAAGGCAGAGAGTCAACGGTTCTCCCGCGATAAGTTGAGGAGCATCAGGTTGAAGGTACGCAGAGCGCCCAAGGCTCGAGTTTCAAGGGGCAATCTTGCTGTGAGTTGAGCCGGACTTGGAACACGCAAATCAATTCAACGGTTGGACAAAGGTAAGGATTCGTTTCAACGTAGCGGATGGACATGGCGGACCAGGAGAAAATGTGCGCGTCTTTTCCTCCAGAGATAAGTAAGTAGCTCGGACATCGGGCCGGTCCGGCGAGCTGCGGACTTGGCCGAGTGGCACGCGTACGGCTGCCCATCATGAGGAAGTCGAAGCAGGCTGCGACGCCCATAACGTTCTTGACACATACCACCACCATGCTTCTACGATGTAGATGAGAGGATATGTGGCTCTCCCAGCAATGCGATGTTCAAAGGTGCACCCCATTGTCGAGGTACCGTCGGCGAACAAGCCGAAGCCCGGATATTGCGTGGCGGGCAAGGAGAGAGGTGTGCTTGAGAGACAAGCGGGAAGTCTGTAATGTATCTGTTTACCCTAGGGTGTTCCCTACTGTATTGCTGACCATCTGCTTCTGCTTTCTCAGACTAAGTACTACCTGTACGAGATATACAGCCCTATCAACTGCAGAGCGCCTCGAATGGCCTCGTTCCTCCAGCCACGGCGTGATATCTGAACTCTGTCGACGTGCCACACGGACGCATACAGCTGCGGGCAGTGAACTCCTCTTTCCGCCCACCCTGATTGGGCAACCCATCAACCGCCCGGGCTTTCCATCAGCACGACGCAATATAGTATACAACGATGGACCTGACCATGGCGCCCGATAAGTACGACGGCGAGCAATAACTTTGCTCTTTCAGCCATGGCTTTACTCGACGTACTTCCCGACAGGGACAATATTACGCCCGTACACGCAGCAGCTGGCGTTCTCGCCGCCACCCTGGCCGCTTATGGCCTATACACCGCCTACGACGCATCGCGTCTCCCCCTCCC